CCACCATTACTTCTGTGCTGCTGCCTTCAGAGCTCGGCCCTTGTCAGCAGCCGCCACTCTCTGGCCACCCAGCTCTGAAGGCAGCAGTGCAGAAGGGTGGCATGATATGGTATTGTCACCCTTACTTCTGTGCTGCTACTGGCGGGGCACTGCCTTCAGATCTGGTCACCCAGTCAACAGCCGCCTTTCTCCAGTCACCCAGCTCTGAAGGCAACACAGAAGTAAGGGTGGCAATACTGCGACCCCTTTTTGGATCAGGACCCCCAGTTTGAGAAATGCTGGTCTCCCCCATGAAATCTGTATAGTATAGGGTAAAAGCACACAAAAGACCAGATTTCACTGGGGGGGAGGGGGCGTAGAAGGGGATTTTTCATGGCCGTGAATTTGATAGGGCCCTATTTATACAGCATCTCTTAAAAGATATGCAATAGCTTGATGCAGAAATTATAGGATGAGGTTCTTTGGCTTGTATTATGCAACACCTCAGGCTAAATGATCATAATGTTCTTTTCCAATTTTAGAATCTATAACTTTTTAAATCAGAAAAATGAAAAAAATCAAAAACATTGCAAAAATGTGCCACAATTTTTGAAATTAACCTTTAAAAAATGTCCTCAAAATTATTTCTCCATTTACAAGACTATTAAATGGGGTAAAATTCTGCCCTGAAAATATTTTCCCCACTAGGCTCTGGTTTCATTATGGAATTCTGTGTGGCACTTACATTTATGCCAGAATTTCCACTATAAACCTTGAAATTATAGGTTTATCATCAGAATTCTTTTAAAGAACTCGTGGCTAAAATTTATTAACCAAGATCCATTTAATAAAATAAAGGCTTCAGACCTTTACCCATTCTGAGTTATTGCACAAACAAAAAAATACATAAAATGTGAGTTCTTGCCAAGCCCCAACCTAAAAGCTTATTTTTAAAAGACTAAAATATTATGTAGGCTTGTCTTAAAGTTAAAAGAAAATTAAGGGTCATCACGCTGGAAAGATAATTGCTACAGTTCTGAACCTATTTCCACTGGGGTTTTGCAATTGATTTTAACAGGAATAGATTCACGTTATAAGGGAAAAATACTATGCTCAGTGCAAGTAATTGAGCCAAGCAGGTATTTGGGGGCAGAAGGAAATCCTCCTGTAGCAGCCCCCACAACCTACTCCATCCCCAAAACCAACCCACCCACCATGGAAGATCTGTAGAGTCTGTATCCATCTCATACTGGGCCTGCACACCTTTGCCACACAGTAGGATCTTAGAACTTTGCTTCACACTGCATAAAGGGGTGTGCACCCCCACCCCTCAAATCATTCCCCACCTTGTGCAGCAAAGGGAGCCTTTGAGAGCCTGAAGGCTAGGACAGGATTTCCTCCTAACTCCTGTGTGCTCTGCAATAATCTTACTTCAACTTTTTGTCACTCTGAAGTCTAGGTTCTATTTAAATTACAAATTTAGTCTGAGAGTTAATACTATGTTAAATAATGGAAAGTAAAATGCTAGATATTTGAAATGAATTTGAGTCATTAAAAAAAAAGAAAGATTGAGAAAAGGGTGCCAGTAAAACAAAAATCAGTTCTAAAGCAGCCCCAAGGAGCTGAGTGAAAAAAATGCCATAGCTCCAACTGCGGTAATGCAGTGCGCCCTTTGTGAGCACTTTGCAGCACAATACTCTAGCAGTAGGTGATCTCATTTACACCACAGCAGCTCCTGTAACTTCAAAGGAGATAACACCAGTACATCTGGAGTTATTTCACTTACTTTGATACACTACAGGTTTACACCAGGGTAACCATCTGATTACATAATGGAAATCAGACTCTGGTCCCAGTTGTACAAAACAAGCACAATATTGATCTAAATAAAGAGACCAGGTGCTCAACCTGAAGGGCAGGGGTGGCAAAATAGGTGATTATTTAGAGTAATTGAGATTTCCTACTAATATGTGAGGATGGGTGTTCTATTTTTATCTCCACAAATCAGATTCATCTTCATTGCTTGATCTTATGATGAAGTCCTACAATCTTCTGTTTATAACAAAAGATGCTATTCTTGCTGAACAGGGATATAAAGTATCACATGTGCAATGCCTGCATTATTTCCTGCATGGGGAGGTACTTAGGATCTCCACATATTTTGTGCCTGTGTGAACATGGAAAAATATGTACAGCCTGACAGTATTTTATAAAGGACTATTAAAATAAATTGCACTTAAATGTCACAAATGGTGATTATATAACCATTAATTAGTGCATATTAAATACAAAAATCAAGACCGTTGCAAGCCTGCACAATTTATAAAACTTAGTTATATCTAAGGATTCTATTACCTTGGATTGGTTTAATATTTTAAGGGTAGGACATGTGATTTTTCCCCCCCTCAACTTGTGTTGGGTGGTATCTCAAAGGAAGAGCAGGAATTACTCATGCACAGAGGAAAGAAGCAGACTTACACTTTTGCCCCTTTCTTTAGCATCAAAGCCACCTTTGGAAGTTAAAAGCTGGCAATTTTAAAGGAATAAATTGCACATTCAGAAGAGAAAATATGAAGAACTTGCTCACATGAGCAAATTCTTCCTCCTTCCCCCCCCCCCCCCCCATCCCCTTTTGGCCATTTTTCTCACTGTATTCACAAGGAAGTATTTCTGTGATGGGAGAATACTGGGTATGTGTAAACTGAACAAGAGAAGATTTACTTGGCACTCATTTAGGACAGAAGGTTGCAATGTAAATGTTTGATGTAACATTGAACTCCAAGACTTCAGTGCATGATCAACTAAGTGGATAAAATAGGCCGCATATCGGATTTTTATAAAAAAGGTCTCTCCTTCCTGCAGATTATTCCTCACCTGGTGGTAGCCTCCATCTATAAAACACCAGAGATGGATACTATGAAAGTGAATGACTTGGAATGGGCAGAGGATAGAAGAAACCCAAAGGTGATCTTTCCTATTACAGGCTATTTAAAACATGGGGAATAAAAAAAAAACTCTGGACTATATATTATGCTCCCAGTTATCCAAGCCTCCTAAACCAGCTGCACGTCTTCCCACCTTATTCCTAGGGAGCTCAGATAATTATCATCCAGGCTGAATGTCTTTTTTAACAATTATCCAAACACCTTAAGTCTAGACACATGAACACCAATAATACATAACAGCATTATTAGGTTAAAGAGTGCATTTTTCAGGGTATTATTTACTTGACATTTTCCAGATTTGAATTTGAACACCTTTCAGAGGTACTTATTTCCTTTTTAAAATAAGCACCTTCCATTTAAAATTGGATACTAAGCTGTAGAATTTCATTTATACTTGTTCATTGTTGCTTGATTAGTGTCAAGGTAAGCCAGATGGTGAACTCAATACAAACAAGCTAGTTAAACATAGGTAGGAATAAATGCCTAAAAAAACCACACACACTATTACTGCATTTGAACTTTAGTCATCATGGGACTTAGAGATGCAGGACTGACAATGCTATCCTAACAAATCCCTTTGCTAGTTCAATACTTCTTCATACCCCCATTCTCTCCACTGCAGGACAAACGCCGCTCCATGGTGTTGACAGACATCCTTATTTTTACTTCCAGTACTCGGCTACTCCCAGAAAAAGCTAGACTCTTCTACTCAAACCAAACCATATGGTGATTTTGTGCCTAGGTCTTTTAAACTCAAGTGGGCTAGGGCCAAGCCTCATTCACAAAGGCCGGTTTAGAAAAATCAAGGTTCAGACAAATTTAACTATCGAGTTTTAGCTTAAAATGCATTTTTAATATGAAGCACTATACTGTCAATTATACTTCTATTAACTTGCTCCCATTGTAAAACTGGAATTACAGTGGGCAGTTTGAACAAACTGTTGATTCTGTTAGCTGCTTTAAGGATTAAAAATAATGTAAGAGTTCCATTACCCCTCAAGAAAATCAATGAACATCAGTGCTCAAAAGAACATGCAAGAATGGGGGAAAATACCTCCAAAATATTCTGTCAGTCCACCTGTTTTGTCAGCTCAAGGCAGCAGGCTAGTCAAACAGCCTCTGAATTTTCTTCCGGCCACTCATACGGACAACTAAAGTAAAATGTTCATGCTTTGGAAGCCCAGTAAATTAGAACAGCAGTTCCATCTATTTCTGGAATATAACTTATTCATTGTCAAATACTGTAGTTATATTAATTTTTAATGGATTATAAAATGAAAGTTTAGGATCAGTTTACTTGACTGTAAATCAAAAATTTTATTCACTCTACTATCTGAGCTATTACTTCTTAATACAGAAATGTAATGCTGATGCATTGGTCTATGACCTCTAGAGATAATAGTTCAAATCCACTCAGATTACATGGGAAGTGAATTTCACTGCATCACCTGAGTCCTTTCTAGATATGTCATATCACACAGTAACTCAACATTAAAAAAAACTTGTAATCTTAATTCTCAAGGGTAAACTAAAAACCACCACCTGATCCAGGTGTAAAGGACTGCATATATAGAAAACTTGTTTGTGAATGTTTGGTCAAATAATGCTAGCCAAGTACTTAAGCTGTATGCTTTGCCAGAACTATTTTAGGTAAAGCAACCCATTATTGCTGTGTGTCAAGTACAGCAATCACTTTCCATCATTCCTTTGTGATACACTGAGTCAGACCTTTCTGCATCATTAGCATTTACAACACAATAACTGCAATGCTCTTCTCTTCAGCACAATAGTAAAAAAGACCACAACAGCCATTTAATTTTAAAGAATTTTAATACAAACTTAATATAAACTATTTCAGTCCCTCTTAACATATAAGACACTGACTCAAAATACTTTTATACCATTTTTTCAAGTATTGCACAATGTAGGTACAAAATTAATATATACGATTACATTTTCTTCCATAATATATAGCAAAAATCTTTAAACTTTTAACAGAAAATACAATTTGTGTTTCTTTTTGAAAAAAGCAAATATTTCGTACATTTTAATTCCACCACTAAGGAATATTCTGTACACTTTAAATTTTTTTTTTTTTTTTTTTTTTAGAATAATTGATGTCTAAGATGGATATTTTACAATTTCAGTAAAAAAAATACAACATGAAGCTGCTGCAGCTGTCACAGATCACTGTAGTAAAAAGATATAAATGCAATACCATGTTGTAGAAACAATATATATACTCTGATATTTTACAAACTTTGTACTAAATTAAATTATACAATTAGAAAAAGACCAATAAACCCACTTATTAGTGCCAATTTTTTATATATATAAAAATCAGCCATGTCCTTGCTATATCTTAAATACTGTAAGAGGCCATATTTTGAGTATATTTTTTAATGTACAGTCAGTATAAAATAACTTTGTGCTTGGCTGGCAAATGAAAAAAAGATGCATGTTGTATTTATCTAACCAAGCTTGAATGTATTCATACTACAAGCTTTAAAAAAGTCTCAAGAAGTGGAAAAAAGATACACCCTTGGGTACGTGCATTTGAACTTGTACAATAGGATTTATTTGTATTTCATTTGTTTTATTTTTAGTTAGCCATAACAGGCTGGAATTGCTGGTTAGAATACTGCATGTTGTTTAAGCTAAAATTCAAGCCATCAACAAAAGACTTCTCATTTAGACCTCCATAGGCTGCAAACATATCAAAGGCATTACTGTACTGGAGAGGACTGAGGTTAAGGGGGCTGTCACCAGGAAATATGCTACTGGTACTACCTTGACCCTGTATGTTAGGGAAAATGAACTCCTTTGCATTAGGAGAAAGGGCAGAAGTCTTCTGCTGTTGCTGCTGCTGACTGCCTAGGCCAAGCCCATAGAGCGAATGCATGGAGGAGGAAAGGGCTTTCTGCTTCAACAAGTCATTGACATTCAAGCCAAGGTTGGTGGGAGAAGTGCGGGCGACCTTGCTGCTACGGCCGCTATTCTTCATTTTGGTCGAGCCAAACTTGGTGGCAGCAAATGTGGCAGTGGTGAAGGTTAAAGGCTGAGTGGAGCGGGGCATGAAAGTTGGGCTCACAGCAGCAGAGTGACCAAAGGGAGGAGAAGGAGAGCTAGACACTGAAGATGCTGGGTCACTAATTGGCATGAACACCTGGGCCTCTGGGTTAAAGCTGTTCTTGATTTCCTTATCCAACTCACATCCATTTTCATTATCATCCACATAAAGCACTTTCACTGGTCCCTTTTCACCAATTTGATATGAAACCTCAAATGGGTCAATCCAAACACTAAGATCCTGAGGCAGGTTGCCGCGAACATCATCAATGTCCAAACCACTCTCTTTGGATGCTTGTTCTATAACTGGGTCCACTTTCTCCCCTACATGTATACATCTATACCCTGATCCTTTGTATGGCTTTTCCGGATACCAGTGCCCTTCATACTTCTTTTTAAGAAGTCTTTCAAGCTCTTCACCAAAAATGTTGACACGTCGTCTGGGAAGCTTATTGTACAAATATGAAATAATAAAATTGAGTGCTACTTGGATTTCAACCTGCATAGCTGCTATGCCAAAGTTTAACGTCCGTTTCAAAACCCAAAGAAAAAAAGTGTTCAAGATGCCACAGGGAAACAAAATTTCATTCAAAGTGCTGATTCTAGTAGATTATTATCCTTCACCTTGAGTGTTCTTGTTCCTTTAAGAAAAAAAAAGCAAATATATCCAAATAAGGAAAGCATAAGATCAGGCTCCAAGGCCTAATATTCTGGCCTCATACTCTACCTAGAATAGGTTATTTCTCATCAGAAGACATTTGTAACATACTGCCTTTCAACATGACTTAAAACAGAGGACCTCAAATACATTCCACAGAACTTATAAACAATACTATGGAAGATGCATTAGGAAGGTGTTTAATGAGTACAGCATAAGTCATTTAAAAATCATTTGAGCTTGCAGTTCAGCCCTTAAGTTATTTGCAAAGCAGCAAGTGTGTGTCTAGGACGTCATAGCAATGCTAAATGTGCCAGGCCTGTCAGGGGTTCAATTACCAACCCCCTATTCTGGGTGATTTATAGAACTCAGCTGCAAAATTTAGCACCAAGCTATTAATTTAGCATAAAAGGTCTCAGTCAAAGAACCACTTCTCATTTTAAGGTTTGCAAACATATCAGTTGGGCTTTAAGTTACAGATATACTAAAAAAAAATCTACTGGTTGTTTTAGATGCATTTTGGCACTCGAATAATTTAATTATGCCACATATATCTTTTTAGGTCAAAGCCAAACACCTGCACCAACTGTGCATTTGATGGAAAATACAACTGAAGAAACGGTCTACTGATGAAGGACAGGGATTCTTTCCCTCTCCCTCTAGAACTATTATAAGAATACTTTAAATACACACTGTGCACACACAATAGAGCAAATACACATTTTCTGTCTTAATTATGGCTGGTAGTAATGGTCAATGAATCCATTCCTATGTACTGGTTCAAAAATTTTCATCTTCTATAAAACTGCTTAAATATCAGCTAAATGCACATTTTAAAACATGTCAACATATTTGGGAATTTTATAAAGCTATTATAGCCAATAGGATCAATCCTCATTTTCCTCTCTCTCTCTTCAGATTTTATACTATATATAAAATGGAGCCATGGAAGTCACTCCTTCATTAAGGGTATAACAGAAATTCACATAAATATACAATTAAAACAAGGGACAAGAGCAATATAATAAAATAACATGCCTCACTACTGATAATCCTGCAATACCTTAGTATAACAGTCTGATTTAAAGATGGAGTTTCAATCATAGCTTAAGCAGAAAAAAACAATACATTTTGAGTTAACACCTACAGCAGTATTTTACTTAAATTTTTTTGTTTGGCCCAGCATAACAATTATTTACAAAATTTAGTAAATCAGTCATTAAGGAACAGGAAAAGTCAAAGCCAATTTCCAAATTCTGCAATCCTATTTTTATTTCCTGCCCCAATTGGGTAGTTTTGCAAAGTTTAACCCCATTTTTAAAGCCTCCTTTAATCTCCCCCACTTCCCCCTCAAACATGATATGGGAACAGCCTGAGAGGCTGTATGATAAGGCGACCTTTAAACGTTTGCTGGATCAGCACTGGGTGGGGATAAGGAAAGATCAAGGGCAAACAGAAGATATTTACAAAAGGGGACTAATTCGATATGGAAAAGTTGATTGGGGTAGTTAAAAGGGACACTAAAAATGATTTATTAATCCATCTGTTTCATCTCCCCTTCCCGATGTCCTTTAGGATAAAATGATCCTCAAAAACACTGAGCAGAAACTACAAATTCTTGTAAGCCTCAAAATTGAGCCTTGGTACAAGCCACTGAATAAACCAAACAGCTTGAACACTGCAAACAGGTTTTTTGTTTTGTTTTGTTTTTTTTAAAAGGAGGATGACATTTCTAAGGTATCTAAGCATGTTAATTATTCTAATGGTGGTGGGGGTTAAAAACAAGAGCCTTAAGCTGTGTGTGGAGAGTTACATAACCAGGCAGTTCGGTCTCATTAGATTTCTGCTCACAGCACTGGGAGCTCCAGCAGCAAGAGACGGAGGAAGAGCATTTTCTGAGTGCACAAGAGACAAAATGAAGGGGAAGAGGGGATGACTGGAGAGGAAGCACTCTCTCCTGCAAGCACTCTCTCCTGCACCAGCAAGGCCAAACCCAGTTCTCCTGTGCACCCCACTCCCAGTGACACCCCTCAACCTTCTCTTATTTGGCAGGGCCCTAGAGGAGAGGGCTGTTAGTGCTGGTTAAAATGCCCAAGCACAACGATATATATTAGTCAGTTTATGCAAAACTCACTCATCCGAGCCATGATGCGTACAATGAACCCCCCATGCCATGGCTGTGCAACTGACCGAAGCACCTCCTTCCCAGCCAGAGGACCATTTCTCCTCTATGCAGTTGTGTCAGGCCCTACCCAGGTTCTCTTTTCCCTGATCCCCTCCCCTCCCCACGGGGCTGGGTCAATCCCCCCACCACACCGCCATAGGGCTGTTCCAATCCCACGCCCCTGGTCCTGTACCTTCTCCCCCTCCCCCGGGTCTGTGCCAACCCCAGCTCCGGTTCCACAGCCCTCCTCCCCCCACAGGGCAGTGCCAACCCCCCCTCCGGTTGTGCTGCCTTTCCCCCCAATGGGGGTAGTGCCAACCTGCCCAGACCCCACCACCGCCCTCCCATCCAGGGGTGTGCCAACCCCCCTCCCCCACTCCACTGCACTCCCCCC